ATTTAGCACTATTAAATGTGCTAACTGGGGACACTGTAAATAAATAAACAAATATTTCAAATATAACATAAACTATTAAGAATCCCAACTGGTTGGAGCCTGACCAGTTGGTTATTTACACTACGCAGTTGAGGAGTTGAACTCGGGGCTACCGAGAACAAATGCAGATAGTGGTAGTGTGGAGGATTTGAACCAGCAACCTCCAGATTTCAAATCCAGCACCCTAAACCACTCGGCCACGCCGCCTCTACTCCTTTTCCAATAAAAAGGGGGTTTTGTAGAGAGGTGGCCACCATAGAGGTGGCTGCTGGTACAGGTTTGACTGTATTTTTCCCTAGATTATCAACACAATGTGCCTCACACAGGTATTGAGAACAAAGAAAGTCACCTGTATGTACTAGGGGATATTTTCTTGATAAAAATCGCCAGACTTTCAGAACTGACATTGAAAGAAATTCTTTATTCAGGCTTTTAGCCAGGATTTGAAAAGTGGGTGGCCAAAATGTGCTATAGGGTCTGCTTAAATGAACTATTTATAAGACAACATACCAAAATTAAAACAATTTTGTTTAGTAAGTGGCCGTCCACAGGACACCTGGACACCCATCTGGCTAAACCAGTCGATATTACTTTGGGACTGAAAGGGTTAATTGTGTACGTTCATCATCAGGTGCCGATGGTTCTTGTTGGGAACAAATGCGACTTGGAAGACGAAAGAGTTGTTGGAAAAGACCAAGGACAAAATTTAGCGAAACAATTCAGTAACTGGTGAGCCTCCTTTTAAAAGTGATGCTGATTTTTATTAAATTAACAAGTTCCAGTAGAATGCACTCCCCAAACATTCAGTAGTGTTCTTTTTTTTCCCTGCATTTTTTCCATTGTTTCCAAAAAGACACACTAAGGACAATACAAGTTTGCCTCATTTGACAAGTTCACGACAGGTGCACAGCACAAATAGTGTTGTGAACATCAAACCTACAACTTTGTTTTCATGAAACAGTTCATGTCATACACTTGCTGTTAGCTTGTCACACATGGTAAAGTTGTACTGTTTAAATCAACAATTGAAAAGGGAAGGAGGAGGACCAAAAATGTTTAGGCCCATCAACCAGCCCTACATTCTTTCAACAAACGATGGGTGTGGACAGTGATAAAGATAATGCTGATCTAATTAAATAACCAACACCAAGTTTATGGAGCTCTCCATATTATAGAGTTAGAGATTACATGTACATGAATTTGTTTCTCTGCGGCCAATTTCACTGCTTGTAGTATTGAGGTGTTCAGTGTGAGGAGCTGTTCACATAATAGAGGGTTCTATGTTGATGTTAATGTTATCCAGTAATATTAAGTTATTTGGGTAATGATAGTGGTGATATTAATTAGAATCATAATAGTGTTGGTAGTTGTAATGGTTACTGCAGTAATTGTGGTAGTGGTGTGAATTATGTTTAAGGTAAAAATAGAATATTGTAATAGGTATGGTGAAGGTAATGGTGTTAAATATGTAATGGTAATGATTGGTAAGGTTAATGGTAATGATTACAGTAACTGTAATGGAAAAATTAATGGCAAAGGTTAAAGGTAATGATGGCATTAACTATGTTTAGAGGTAATGGTGATGGTAGTGATTATGGTAAAGATAATGGTAATGGTATAAATTATGGTAAAGGTAATGGTATTAATGTTTATGGTAGGGTAATGGTAATAGTATAAATCGTGGTATTGAAGGAAAGGTAATGGGATTAATTATGATAATTAATGATAATAGTATTGATTATGGTTAAAGTAATAGTAATGGTAATGATTGTGTTAAGGTAATGGTATTGATCTGCTTATGGTAATATTATTTCTTGGATATGTAAATCTGTGATTCTTGCTATGTAAAAGAAATATAGCCTGACTGAAGTATTACATGTAAGTTTACAATGTATCAACAAATGGAATGAAAATCAAATTTTCAATGAATTCAAACAACAGCTTCATTGTGCTACATGTAGTTACTCTTGAAGTGTTGCAACATTTTGAAAAATTTACAGCAACATTGCACAAAAAATTGTGTTAATAGACCGTGTTGATTTTACTTGTCTAATCGGTGGGTGGTATTTATTTCAGTGCTTTCCTGGAAACATCAGCGAAATCAAAGATCAACGTCAATGAAATCTTTTACGACTTGGTCAGGCAAATAAACAGAAAAACACCAGAAGCGAAGAAACCACAAAATGACAGTTGTTGCTCATGTGTTCTATTGTAATGATGCCACTAGAACATTTAACATCAAAGACTGAATATACTCTACTGATGTTTGTACCTGAATGTTACCATCATTCAAAGGACAAAACATCAAAAATTATTTGTAAATTATTTCAGCACCACTGGCAGATAAGAAGAAAGAGAGCCCACACAGCTCGAGTTAACCAGCTCAAAAAGGATAGATAAACAATATTTCTTAATTGCTTCGCAGAGTGATTTTTTAGAATGTCTTGGGGACCTACTTTTACTTTAATCTAGAATATTTTTTTTATGTTGTACATTAATGTATATGATATCTGAAAACATAACATAGGGTGTCATTCATAACAGCAATTACCAGCAGCTTTTGGAGAATAAAATGTAGAGTGACCGCCAAATAAGCAGAGTCTTATTCATGAAGTCTACACCTTTCTGTTATGTACAGTGTTCTGTGCACCCCTGTTGGCTTATAGTGAGGATAAACAGTTTGTCAGCCTCTTGAGATTCACCATCTTCCAATATGAATGGCTCAAGGTGTGTTTGTGCAATGAGATGAAGCAGCCATTGTGAACCTAGTCCTAACAGTTATTGCCAACCTCTCTACATATGCATATGGAAGAGTTTGAAGAACAAGCTGTTATAGCATACTGTGCATCATAAACTTTAGTACTATGTAGATGATGTTGTTTCTATCTTGAGTCGAAGTAATGTGCTTACAGCAACTTCATGATCAACAACTGACCAGTGACTTTACCATCAAAGTTGAGTAAGACAGTGTGATCATATCACCTTCTTCAAAGTTTGTAACATTGGATTCTGGAAGCTGCCTTATGAGTGCATTAAAATCTATGCGACAGATTGGAGATCTATTTAATGCAAGGGTAAAGGAATTTTGAAAATGATGGTGGCATATTTTTGGCTTGCTTGTACTCAGACCCATGCTGTTTCAGTGCATGCTAATGAAACCAGGCATTACCCTCTCTGGGAAAAGGTTACATTTACTGACCAGATGCAATTTTCAGACCCGTGCAGGTCTCAAAAAAAAAATAAATAAATTCCAGCTTGCCCTTAGGACACATCTCTTTTGAATTTTGCTTGCCCTGGGCAAGTCTCAGTTTGAATTTTAATGATTTATTTGGCAGACGACCGCCTGATCCCTTGCCCATTGGGCAAGTGAGAATGAAAAGGTACTTGCCCAGAAGGAGAATCTACTTGTCCTGGACAACTGGACAGCACTTTGTTCGAGCCCTGCCATGGAGGGCTGAAGAGGCCATTCACATAAAGCTTCACACTAGCAACATAAACCAGTGCAATGGAATTGAAATTCCCAAGTATGGATACCTTTAATCAAGCATTTAGCATCACTCATTGAAAGCTGACCTATATGGAAACAGTTCAAAGTTGTAACAGCAAGGATCTAAATACACCAATCACTGACAATCAGGGTCAAACAACCATTACAGTTAAACTTAAGATGAAGACCAGAAGTAAACAGTCAAGAGATTATCATTCAGTTCCTATCATTTTGAAGAGTGATTTTCAACCACATCTTTCATACAATGGTTTAACGTCACAAGTGTTCTCCCAAACAAAAACACCAATAACTTTTCAGGATTTTCGAGATTGTCACATCAATAATAATATTACAATGATTACAATAGTTTGTGATCTGTGTTTCTTGGTAGTTTACAATGGTTAATGGCATGATGATATACATTTAATGATAGTCCAAGAATTGAAAATTTGATTCTTCATTCCATTTCATTTATAGATACATGTACATTGTGAACCATTCTTTCATTGTAATCAGGAAAATTCATCATGAAATTACATGAAATTTAGCGTGGAATCTAAGATTGGTACATCAGAAGGTTTTGGACTCAATTCAGGCAGGCTGTGAATTTAAACCTGCCTAATTGTTATTAACCCTGTCTAATTATTATCATTAGTAAAAATAGAAATTTGCATTGTGCAAATTTTATTACTATCAGTGATCAAACGCACTTCACTAAATATGGTTAAAAAGTAAAAACTTTTTGTTATTTGAAATAGGAACATCTATCCACACTGTAGATTGAAATAAAAGTAACTAATAATCATTGGGTGGTATTTATTTCAGTGCCTTCCTGGAAACATCAGCAAAATCAAAGATCAACGTCAATGAAATCTTTTACGACTTGGTCAGGCAAATAAACAGAAAAACACCAGAAGCAAAAAAGAAAGGGAAAAAGGGAAAATGTGTGCTCTTGTAATAATGCCACAAGAATATTTTAAGTTACAGACTGATGCACTTCAGATGTGTGCCTGAATTTTGTCATCGTTTGACGGACAGAACATCAAATATTATTTGTAAATTATTGGCGAGCACTGACAGAGAACAAGAAAGGGATGATAGTTTGTAACATATAGTAACCCAGAGGTGGTAAAGTTATTAATATACAGATGTCCAGGTTGTTTTGCAGAGTACTTTGTAGGACATATGGACCTATTTTGATATATAGCATTGTACACATCAAGTCATTTTTTTTATGTTGTACATTTTAATTAATACCTTTGTTTGAGAGTCATTGATAACAGCAACATTGACTCATAGAAGCAGTTTTTGGAACATAAAATGTGGAATGAAGTTGAGTAAGTTTTAAGCTCTTGTTGTCCACAACTTCTACTACCTGTGTGTTTACCTCTTGCATTGCACATTCACAACATCCAGGCGGTATTGCAGTTCATTTGTTTGTTTTACAACATAACAAGAAACAATTGTAGAATAAGAATGGTTAAAAAATCACTTCAAGACCCAGTATTGACCATTATGCTTTTCGTGCATCTGTTATGATCTGTTTTGTTTTAAATGATAGCAAGGTTGCTATTGTTTTCCATGCAGCACAGTGTGTAAAGCATCATGGCCAAAACTGGGTTTTAAGTAGAGCTTAACTTATGCTTACAATCACAGCATTGAAATGATGTTGACTACTGCACAATTGTTGATGAGTTAACCTACGCCATAGGTTATTGCACAAGTTTACAGACTGCCATCTATACAAAGAGTGAAGACAACATTCAAGTTGTTTCACAGCATTTAATTTATGCATATTACTAGAATTTTGAACCCAATAGGTTATTTCCGAGTTACCTTGTGCCTCTGTTTCAAAATGAGTCCTTGCATAAAACCTTTCTTATGAAAATTAGTTTGATTTGCATGAAAATGAACCTGTAGGCAGAACACATTTTCATATGAATGGTTTTGCACAAAGACTCATTTTGACACAGAGGCAAAAGGCAATTCGGAAATAGCCTATAGTGAGAACTCTGTGTGTGTGTGTTGATGCCTTCACTCCCTGAGCCAAAGTTTCAAGGCAAAAATATTAATTTGGCTCTAACTGTTAAATATTGAGAGCGTATGTTAAATGGTATATATGCTCGTTGCTTTTTAACAGATTGTGCAACATGATTTAGTCTCCTTTGCAGTCAGTATTTTTTCATCATGCATTGCTTCTCCCTTCTGTCAGTTGCTTAAACTCTAATGACATTCGATTCCATAGTTTAACCAATCACAGCTTCACTCATTTAATCAACTGCCACTTATGCCAAAAAGGTGTCAAAAGTGACTTGCCAAAACAAAACGAAAAATGTATGTCAGTGGGGCGAAGCAATGCACACATGGAAATTGGCTGCGAAAGAGATTACCAAATGGTAGTTTGATATAGATTTGGTTTAATTTGTTCAATCATTTTTAATTACAAATAACGCAAATAAGTGGTGCAAATAAAATTCACTCATTAAGAGAAATGTGAGCTTTTTATGTCCTTTATTTATCATAGTAATTTTTGGAAGGTTGCTTTAAACAAATTTTTCAAAAGAAAAAATTATCAATTGAAAGCGACCGAACAAGGTTGGGATTTAAAGGTGAAACAAGTTCTTTTACTCTTTGATATTTAAAAAACTTTTACTACCAGCAATATTAAATATATGTCATCGAACTTGCATGAGGTCTGTGTTGGAGAAATATTGGTCAAGTTATGGACTGAGCCGCAGACGAGGTAAATAGATTCTTTTCATAAATGGCTGCCAATATAAATTCTTCTGTAAGTAATAACTAAAATTAGCCATACTAACCTTGTTTTTGATTTGATAATGAAAAAAAAAATTTAAGTGGGCTAATTTAATTGCATACAAAAGAATTTTTAATTGGCAGCCATTTATGACAGGGGTAAAAAAACTTGCGAAAAAATACAAGACCAATATTCCCCAATATGGACCAAACAAGCTAGTTCCAAAAAGTATTTATTGCAATGGTTCTTTTGAAATTCTGCTGATAAATTAAGCTTAATGTGGTAAGAAAAAAGATAAACATGTTGAATGAACTTTCCTGACCTTTCCTATGGTCCCTTCTCAAGAGATATCTGTAGCCCGTTGGTTAAACTATTTGGAATAAAGACAACTAAGAAATACTCAACCATAACTAAAGTTATACTTGCCAACTGGGACGTAAAGACACTTCGAAAGAACATTGAACTCTGAACTCCTAATTCCTTTAGAGCACTTCCTATGTCTTGTAATCTGGCATGTGCATTCACTGTTCCGCGTCACGTGGTACGTTCGTTTTGCCAAGAGGCCACTCCGACCACGTGACCCTACACGATTGACCGCGACGAAATATCGAGGCCTAGGAACTGGGCAACGTGCCTTTATGGTTTAGGACGGTTTAGACAGGTTGTGGTT